AATCAGTGTGTGTGCATTTTTGTTGAATTTTTTTTTTTATGTGCAAAGACAAAATACCTCGTCTGAGCAGTTTTCTTCAAAGTATTAGCAGGCAGTTGTGTTATGTAGTTATCCTAGGTAAATGGTCATGTGTCATCATTCCTTTCTTCCTAATTTCCTTCATTCCTTTTCCTACCTGGAGGCTACCTGGAGGGCATTCCACCTCTCTTCCTACATTCCTTCATCTGTCCTTCATTACTTTTTTCCTTCCTTTCATCTAGTCCTTCCTTCATTCCTGCCTTCCCTTCTTGCTTCTGGTTTCTATAATATATATACACATATAGTCACTAGATACTTTCATAAAACTGCTATTATCACCCTTCAGCAAGCTTGTCTTGTGTGCGAGTGTGTGGCTTATAATTGTTTTGAGTCAGGAGTCGGCAGCTGTCAAAATGACATTGTCTCATTGTCACTCCCCCAAACCCCCTGTCAAAACAATGGGGTCGGATGCTGCTTCCCCCTCCATTCTATCTAATTATCTTTCTCCCTCATTCTATCTCTTTCAATCTGTCTCTCTTTCTCTCTCTCTGTCTATCTCTGTCTCACAGGTACACATAAATACAACTATACATAGTGTAAATTACCTAGGATAACCCAAAAAATCCAGACAAAGTGCTATACTCTGCTTGAAGATGTGAGTAAACGTGATGATGACACAGTCTTGTGGCTCTCTCTGAGACAGAGCTAGACGGACAGACAGGGAGTTTGGCAGACAGACAAATGTATCATCATCATCATCTTCATCTTCATCATCTTCATCTTCATCTTCATCTTCATCTTCATCATCTTCTTCATCTTCATCTTCATCATCTTCATCATCATCATCATCATCTTCATCATCTTCTTCATCTTCATCTTCATCTTCATCATCATTTTCATACATCATTCTTCATCATCACTTCGATCTTCATCATACTTCAACTTCATCATCATCTTCATCTTCTTCATCTTCTCTCTCTTCTCTCTCATCATCCATCAATCATCATCTTCATCATCGTTCATCATCTTCATCATCTGTCATCATCTTCATATCTACATCATCTTCAATCTTCATCATTCATCATCTTGCAACATCTTCTTCTTCATCTTCTTCATCTTCTCAATCTTCTTCATCAACTCTCATTTACATCTTCATCATACTTCATCTTTACATCATTCTCATCTTCATCATCTTCATCTCATCTTCATTCATCTCTACATCATAAACTTATCTACTTCTCTTCATCTTCATCTTCATCTTCATCACTTCTTCTCCTTCTCCTTCTCCTCCTCACTCTCTCCTCCTCCTCCTCCTTCTCCCTCCTTCTCTCCTCCTCCTTCTCCTCCTCCCCTCCTCCTCCTTCTCCTCCCTCTCCTCCTCCTCCTCCTCCTTCTCCTTCCCCCTTCTCCTCCTTCTCCTTCCTCTTTCTCCTTCCCTCCTTCTCCTCCTCTCCTTCTCCTCCTTCTCCTTCTCCTCCTTCTCCTTCTCCTCCTTCTCCTCCTTCTCCTTCTCCTCCTCTCCTTCTCTCCTTCTCCTTCTCCTCCTCCTTTCCTCCTCCTCCTCCTTCTCCTCCTTCTCCTCCTTCTCCTCCTCCTCCTCCCTTCTTCTCCTCCTCCTCCTCCTTCTTCTCTCCTCCTCCTCCTTCTTCTCCTCCTCCTCCTCTTCTCCTCCTCCTCCTCCTTCTCCTCCTTCTCCTCCTCCTTCTCCTCCTCCTCTCCTTCTTCTCCTCCTCCTCCTTCTTCTCCTCCTCCTCCTCCTCCTCCTTCTCCTCCTCCTTCTTCTTCTCCTCCTCCTCCTTCTTCTTCTCCTCCTCCTCCTCCTTCTCCTCCTCCTCCTCCTTCTTCTCCTCCTCCTCCTCCTCCTCCTCCTCCTCCTCCTCCTGGCTCTTGACAGATGGACAGCTGCCCCCCTCCCTCCACCCTCGTTTACGCTCATCAAAGGTCAGCTCTTATCAGATGTTATCTCCCCTTATCTTGTCACTGTCATGGGGTGAACTGTTTTCATGCCTCAAGGGAACATATTATTACATATTATTAGTATTAGGTATTAGGTATTATTATTATTCTTATTCTTCTTCTTATTCTTCTTCTTATTCTTCTTCTTCTTCTTCTTCGTCCTCCCCCTTCCACCTTCCTCCTCCTCCCTCCCTCCTTCCTCCTCCTCCCTCCTCCTTCCTCCTCCCTCCTTCCTCCTCCTCCCTCCTTCCTCCTCCTCTTCTTCCTCCTCCTCCTCTTCTTCCTCCTCTTCTTCCTCCTCCTCTTCCTCCTCCTCCTCCTCTTCCTCCTCCTCTTCCTCTTCCTCCTCCTCCTCCACCTCCTCCATTGCTTTTGGTCTCAAACTCCTCGAAATCATGAAATTGCTCTTCATTGACATTTCCATCTGTGTTAGAGCATCACTTGGGAAGAGAAGAGTCCCAGATTTGCAGAGAAGTCACATATTTCTTACCGCTAGACATGCTGAAAAAGGACGACTGAAATGGTATTCCCACAATGCACCACTGGCTCCCCGATTTTTTTGTATGGTGCACACTGACCATGGAGACCCATTCTCTCACATGTGGGCCTACCAGCTTTCTCCTGCTTGATTTGAAGCCGCTAGAATTTATGCGTATAGATACGTCAAACACTATCTCCTATGACGTACATATATGACCGCGACAGTCAAAGGGTTAAGAAAGATTTTGAAGGGTTTGGGGCTAACCCTGAGAAGCCTATGCCAGTAGTGGAATCCATTGTGCCTACTTCAAAAATTAAGGAAATGTATGCAAAGTGGGTTGAACTGCAAACCTTTATGGATGAAAATCACCCTAACACAGCTATTGTAAGCCGTGCTGGTGACTATTACAGTGACAATGTTGTGGCCCATTTTAGACAAATCGTAAAGGAACGGGAGGTACAGAGCTCTATGGACAGATTTGTTGTGCGACAGAGGTCCAGTGACTCTCAAGCTGGTCCTAGTGGCATTAAAAGAAGAAGGGAAGTAACCCCAGAAAAGGACTTGCTACCGCAAGTCCTAATGGAAGGGGATTCCCCTTCTAAACAATAAGTTCGACACTCTCCCCTCCTCCCATCCCATCAATCATCACCAGATCTTCATTAAAGGTAAGTGTCATGTATTCTATTGTTAGTAGAGTACTACAAACTGTGTATGTCTTCTTCAGTTTGTGTGCATTAAACTTAATACACCTACCATCCGACTTACGACCTGCTCGACTTACGACCATGTTTTTTATGCCAAATTTTTGGGAAATAAACAACTGTGTGTTATACACAGTGTTTATCCTAAACCTTACAGTATAAAATACAGTACTAACAGCATAAAGAGTAAAGTAAAAATGAAATACCAAAATAAAACAAAATAAAGTCATTACAAAAATGTGATGTTATATTCAGTAGTAAAGTTCGACTTACGACCATTTCGACTTACGACCGGTTTCTCGGAACCGAACTCAGTCGTAAGTTGGATGGTAGGTGTATTTCATGTGGTAAAAATTTTTTTTCATACTTTTGGGTGTCTTGCACGGATTAATTTGATTTCCATTATTTCTTATGGGGAAATTTGATTCGCTTTCGATAATTTTGGTTTACGATGAGCTCTCAGGAATGGATTAATAAAACAAACCGGGGGTCCACTGTAACAAAAAGGCACAATACCATGACTGGAACAATATACAAATAACCCGCACATAGAAGAGAGGAGCTTACGACGATGTTTCGGTCCGACTTGGACCATATAAAGTCAGTGTGACTTTGTTAATGGTCCAAGTCGGAGCGAAACGTCATCATAAGTTCCTCTCTTCTACGTGCGGGTTATTTGTGTATAAACCCACAAGGGCCATACAGCACTGATACCTGATAGATAATGTTTGGAAACTTGTTAAACATAAGCTACATGGCATGGACGTGCCAGTAAACAGGTGTGGGAAATTACTGACCATTATAGCCTCCATAAGCTAGTCTTATCAGTGCCTAGGAGACTTAAGGAGTTCATGAAGAGAACAGGTAATCCAAAATACTAGTATAGGCAAGGAACATTTACATATTTCAGGATTTTTTTTTTTTATTAACTCATCAGCCATTTCCCACCAAGGCAGGGTGCCCCAAAAAAGAAGAAATGCTTTCAGTATTTTATATTTCAAAACATAGGTTATGGTGAGCAGTCTTGTTGCATATCTATGATGCTACTGTTTATTTATCAACAAATAAAAAAAAAATTAAAATGTTTTCAAGGCAGACTAACTGACTTCTTAAAAAACTACGTACTATATCTTGACCTTCGATGAGTTCCTAGAGTCTACTCCCGGTGCCTAGCCATGGGCCAGGCTTGTCTGGTGTTTGCCTAGTCAACATGCTCATCTAGTTTCCTCTTGAAGACTTCTACACTTGTCCCAGCAGTGTTTCTGATATCTTGTGGCAAAATGTTAAATAATCTGGGGCCAAGATGTTGATACAGGTTTTCCTTATTGCGCCCACTGCACCCCTGCTTTTCACTTGGTTTATTTTGCACTTTCTCCTATATTTCTCACTCCATTTTGCTTTGGCAGTGTGCAGATTTAGGACAAGGCCCTCAAGTACTTTCCAGGTATATATTATCTTTTTACACTCTATAAAGTTATACTAGGCAACAAAATAAAAGATTAAAAACTCTTACAATAATACCCTCACAAGGAGAACGAAAGTTCAGTTGTAAACAATGAAAAAATGAAGATAAAATTAACCTAATTTTTTCAGTGATGTAACAATGAAATGGGCTGGATAGTGATAAGAGCAATAACCATAAAAAATTTTGAAAACTTACAAAGCAGATAAACTACTAAACACATGATACATGAACATCACTGTTTTATATTAATTACAGATAATTACTGACTATAATTACACCAGGCAAACCCATAAGGTTCTGTTCAAAGATATCTTGCTAGTAACCTTTACAGGGATAGCTACCTTTAATAAAGACAAAAGAGGTAAATACACACACAGTATAAACACAGTGATATTTATTGATAAAGGTAACTGATATTATATCACATTTTGTTCAATTTTTTGCTGGGATGTCCACAGTATAATGACCACCACAGCATGACCAGAGATAATGATTTTTTCACATGTAAATATTAAAACAGCTTATAATTAACTTCTAAAGTAACAAACAGTAAATGCTGAAATTTTAAAAATAACTTTGCAGGAAAATATTACACCAGACCTCAAACAACTGGATGAAACCACTACTTATTAACCTGAACAAATGTTAACAGCAGCTAATTACAACCATTAATGAGAAGTAACTACTAAATTATTCCATTAGAATTAACCTGGGCAAGATTACGTACCAGTCCACTTGTATGTTCCCAAACCTTCATACATGTGACAAAATCATAGAAAAGTTCAGACTAAGTTTAAGATATGTAGATCAAAAAACTCAAACCTGAGAGTTACAGTACCACAAAAAATCATAAATTACTTTTAACAGGATTCATATATCCCCATATTTTCTATACTGGTCAACAGAATACTATACAGAAATAACAATATATCTATGTGTACTATATTAGTTTAGTCCTGTTAAAAAACTAAATCTTTGTAGTTTCAGGCGAGTTAAACAATTATGGATTATTAAATACATTATTGATAAAATAGTTTAGGTCTTGGATCAAAGCCACAATTTTACATATCTTAAAATGTAAGAGTTTGCATCTTGAAAAATAACTACATTATAATTGTTGCCAAGTATCCAATAATATTTTTTAACTAAAATAAACATTAAGATCTTAAATGGAGAACTTGTTTCAAAGCAATGACCAAGCACCTTTGAAACCCATAACACACGAGTCTTACCATCATTTACACAAAATATTTCATGGTAATGTCTTTATACAAGGGAAATATATCAGCATGCTCAGCCAGAGATGTATTTTCAACTTTTAGGATTTATGTCTTATGCCTTTAGCACTATACGTATGTCAAGAGCAAATGACGTGTGTTCATCAGTAAGCAGTCATTTATTTTTTTGTGAATTAAAAACAATTACTATCAGCTTCAGTATACCCAGTGCGCCTACTCTTACATTGGGTTGGTTGCTTTGTTAAATATAAAAAGATCTGCAATATATGGGAAGAAAAAATGACAGTATTATTGTATTTCAGAGCAATGTGGGTGATTCAAGCATCTAAATTAGCTGAAATACGTATATGACAAATGAAAAAACTGTCACAGTAGTTATGAATATGCAAGTCTTAGGAAATAGGGGTGACTTAGCTAGAGCAGTAAACTAAGAAATATTCAGTGGCATTGATGAGCATCCCAATGTTGGGAAAAGGTACAATCATAACTGATAAACAAAACTCATCCTCGTATATAACAGATCCAATCTTCAACATTACTACATCAGTAAAGTTTATCAGATGGTTACACAAAGCTTCCACGTTGGTCACTTTAACTAAGAGGAAGATTGGGCAGACTCACGTGTTGCGAATTTTGCCAGGCACATAGTTTTTGTCAATGACTGGCTCTTGAATGAACATATGTAGGCACTTTTCATTCTGTGCAAGAGGGTGTCCTGCAATTCTGAAAGGCACACAGGAAGGGTGAGGTTAGTATAGGGTATTTACTCTTGACTCTAGCAGTCATTTTTAAATGTTAACAGCTACTTAACAATTGCCTACAGTATGTAAGTAATAAAAATTGCATCACAACATGCAGTTTTGTTCAACTTAAATTGTGCACATCACAATTTAATCTGGTACATCTCATCTAAGAATTAATACGTTACAATATTAAAATTCTTAATTCAATAACACCTTTTGTGAAAGAGTGACAGTATCTCAGCATATGAAAATTTTATTTACTTGTGATGAAAATTATTGCCCAATGATTAACATTAGTCACACTATTTTAACATGCATTTTACGTTTTTACCTCAGAATTAAGCGAAATAAGAGCAATGCATTAAATGCAGCTATGAGCATGAAGAAAATCATGCATTTCCCTATGTTTTGATGGCACATGACAATAAATATCAAAGGATTATTCAGATGCAAATCAAAAGTTATTGTGTATGAGAACATGCAAAATGAAAAAAATGCTTAAGAATATTATACATGTAAACAAGAAAAAAGTAATGGATAGGAACTGTATATTACAACTCCTAACTGGAATGCACATCAGTATTATGTACATCAGAGGGAAGCAGGCACCTTGCAAAGGGGCAACAGAGCAGACAAAAATCAAGTGGCTTACTGGGCCATGCCAGTGAAGTCAACGAAGCTAAAACCTTGGGTAGATTATAAAAAGATTAAACAAATATAAAGTTGAGAGGGTTATATTTGAGAAAGACCTGCTGAACGTGGGTTAGTATGCATAAAGCATTGCTCTTAGGTTATGTAATATAAAAATACAAAATAGCCTGCTGGCCTATGCCAGTAGTGTGCCTATGAAGCTAAAAATGTTAGCATCTATAAAAATTAGTTGGACAATTATAATGTATAGGTTGCATCTGAGAAGGATCTGCCTAGTACAGACCAGTAGACAATACATTTACCTTCTTATTTTACAAACTTAACACTTTTTTGAATGTTTATACTATCCATGACCTACTAGGAGTGGGACCATGTATTTCTGTAAGCTAATTTGGCAATGAGGCTGGGTTTCCCACTACTGGCATGACCTAGGCCATTTTGTAATACAACATTACCATACTTGACAGACCCTTCTTAAATACGAGCCTCCCAACTTTATATCTGGTCAATCTTTTTATGAGCTTATTACTATTCAGACTTTCTACTTTCATAGCCTAGTAGGCCACTGTAGATTTTCACCTGATGCCCAATGCAGCTTTGCATCTGACCTGTCACTCCTATATAAGGTACCCTTCATCCTCTAGTGTACATACTGTTGATGAGGACTCCAGTTCTTCTCTACATGTGGGATGACCTTCAGTATCACCAAGTATTCATTATGCTTTTATCATCAATGCTAGGTAAAATTACTGGGCATGGCATGTCAAATTTATGGAAGACTGACATGATAAGCCCACTACAAATCATGCTAAATGGTGAAGTGCTTGGGTTGGGAACTCACCTTCTCTACTTAAAAAAAAAAATCAGATCTCAGAATTGTACCTGCCAGTGCCTCAAAAGGTTAAGTGATGGATGGATAAAAGTCCATGATAAACAAAGTAAAAGTTTAAAGTAGCAAAAATACCAGTATTAAATTAAAAATCTCATGTGTTAAGTTTGTGCAAGACAAAAACCACATAAAAAGGCAAAAAAAAAAAAAAAAAAGGAATGGTGTGAAAAATGATAAAAGGAATATGAAGAATTAAAAACAATAGCAAGGAATGATCAGGCTCATTAATTTAATAAAAGCAACATGATAAAAATGAGTGTGGTGTAGTTTAAAATACGTACTAGCATGTGAAATGTGTGTGATGGAATGAAGGTGGCTCTGATGAATGCTTATACACCAAGATTAATGCGCAAGAATAAAGAGGCTTATTTCATAGGAAGACTAATCAAAGTTTTTATGCTATTCCAGTGAGGGATTAAAATGGCAAAGTAGGAACAGCACCCCAGGAATAAAACAAGCCTTGTCACAAATATACATGATAATGGCCTCTTATAATTGTAATTACAGAAATCTTTATAAGCACATCTTTTAGGCACAAGGATATACCAAAATACACATGGTACTGCATAACATATGGCAAGTGGATAAGTGGAACAGATTATATGCCTCTAGGAAAAGGCATGTTATCAAGACAAATGTTTGTTTAGATGATAGTATTGTTGTGTACTGAGTAGATTCTGGGGCCTCTTAAAGATAAACAAAAGAATAAAAGCCAAATTAACAATCCACTACACAAGATTCTCTCAAAACTTGTTAACCATTTAACAAGCAGTTTACCGTTCTGGAACTTACTTCATCATTACTACACATATCAAGGTGTCAATCTACAGTGGCTAAGCCACATGCACTATAATGCCTCACAACATAACATCTTTTAATGCCTGCCTTTCAGTTTTTCAATCACTTCACTTTTAACTATATTTCTTCACCTTCAGTAGAAGGCATTAGCCTAATGTTGGGTACATCAGGGCACAATTAACCATTATAAAACCATCACTTGTACAATCTTCATGCCCCCCTCCATCTGACTCTCCCCCCTGTAAAATATAATTATAATTATGGGGAGTGCTAAACCCATAGGATTATATAGCACTTGTGGGGGGGATGGAAGGCATTCAGGCTCAATTCAGGGAACTGGAGTACAGATCCAATTCCCTAGATTAAGAGCCCTTCACCAGCGTCAAGGAACCACTCTTGAAGGGTCCCCCCTGTACAGAAAAGCCTACACTTAGTACACGTGCATTAACAGGATCCTGAAAATTCAACAGTTTCTCACAGAAACCCACATTATGAGCAGAGAGTTATTCTTGAGCCATATTATTCGGAATCTAACTGAGGTTGTTTAGCGAATTTATATCCAATATTTTACATCAGTACTGTTTATTTTTGCTTAAATATTGTAGAATTAAACACTAATTAATTAATACATGTTATTAAACAGATCTGCAACACAGTAAAAAGTACAGTACAGTAGAGACGTGTAGAGGTGGGAAGCAGCCTGGCTGTCAAGAGAATATACAATCCAATCACCTTAATATGGCACCTCAACAATGGGGAGATTCTAGAAGGATAACTTACTAGTTATATAATTCAACTGAGTTGATTTCTGTATGGACCTAGAATAGAGAAAGTCTGGAAACAAGTGGAGTCCTTGGGAGACTAACAAACTGGTAACTCGGCTCTAGTGTAACCTCAATGCCACTGGCTAGCTCCTCACCAGCAATGCAAGCAAAGGAGCTCCTCACCAGCAATGCATGTAAAAGGAGCTCCTCACCAGCAATGCAAGCAAAGGAGCTCCTCACTAGCAATGCAAGCAAAGGAGGAGCTCACCAGCAGTGCATGCAAAGGAGCAGTCGTGTGAATACCAGCCAACCAGTTTCTGAACCTTTTATGATGCTGAAAATTGAAGCAGTAGTCTGTAGTGTAGAGAAGCAAACTACCCAATTAACAAGATTAGTAAGACATCTGATTTTCTTGAAATAAACATACCAATCCAATCCTGGTCATGGACCGGGCCGCGGGGGTGTTGATCCCCGGAATAACCTCCAGGTAATCCAGAGTCAGTCAGTAAAGTTAATAGTCCAGAGTGGTAAAATTTAAGCAGCTTGAGTGAACACAGCTGAGTCCATCATGATACACACATGGAAAAACTACTTTACTGAGGTTTGCAGACTGTTGCAACAGCAATAACTTAAAAGAAGCAAGTAATTGCCAAATTTAAATTAATAATAATATAGTTAATAATTATAAATTATAATTCTTATAATAATTATAATAAATAATGAAGATTATAATAAGTTTAGGAGGTGCAGGAATGCTAAAAGTATTATCCTGAGGGCTGAGGAGGGGTTGAGGTGGTTTGGACATTTAGAGAGGATGGAGCAAAATAGGATGATTTGGAGGGTGTATAAAATCTGTAGTGGAGGGAAGGCAAGGTAGAGGTCATCCTTGGAAAGGCTGAGGGGAGGGGTGTAAAGGAGGTTTTGTATGCAAAGGGCTTTGACATCCAACAGGCGTGTGTGAGCATCTTAGGCAAGAGTGGAACCAAGTGGTATTTATGACTTGATGTGCTGATGGAGTGTAGGCAAGGTAACATTTATGAAGAGATTTAGGAAAACCAGTTAGCTGGACTTTAGTCCTGGAGGTGAGAAGTACAGTGCCTGTACTCTGAATGAAGAGCAGATATATTGCAGTTTGGAGGGGCATCTGAGCTGCAGTATCAGCATGCCTCTGACAAGTGTGATGGAGCGAGTGATGGTGAAAGTGTTTCTTTTTTGAGTCACCCTACCTCAGTGGGAGATGGCAGGTATTAAAAATAATTTTATTTTTTATTTTTTTTTATTATCACACTGGCCGATTCCCACCAAGGCAGGGTGGCCCGAAAAAGAAAAACTTTCACCATCATTCACTCCATCACTGTCTTGCCAGAAGGGTGCTTTACACTACAGTTTTTAAACTGCAACATTAACACCCCTCCTTCAGAGTGCAGGCACTGTACTTCCCATCTCCAGGACTCAAGTCCGGCCTGCCAGTTTCCCTGAATCCCTTCATAAATGTTACTTTGCTCACACTCCAACACCACGTCAAGTATTAAAAACCATTTGTCTCCATTCACTCCTATCAAACACGCTCATGCATGTCTGCTGGAAGTCCAAGCCCCTCGCACACAAAACCTTTCCTTTACCCTCTCCCTCCAACCCTTC